CAAAAAAAATACCAGGAACTTGGGGAACCTGACTGCTCTACTTTGTGGCTCTATTGTTAGTGATGATGATTTTCCTTCAGGTTTCTTAATCTGCATGTTTCTTTCAATTTCACTACAAATACAATCAACCATTCCCAGAAAATCCCTTGTTATCACAAATAGTTGAAGTGGCTGCCATGTTTAATTTTACTTATAAAAGCTTCTGCTTGATAGTAATCTGTTGTCCTCCCCACAAGCTCCATCACTCTTATTTGTTCTACCTTTGCTGCCTTGATCTCCCCTTTAGCATCGTTTAGAAACTTTTTCATTTCTGTTGCAAACCTTCCTCCATCAGCACAATCAGCCATTCCCAGAAAATCCCTTGTTATCAGATGCTTGTGATGATAGCATCAAATATGTTTTAGAAATGGATTCGTAGTCTACCGTTGCTGCCTTTTTCACATAGGTTAGCTCAGAATTTAGGCCACCAAGTACAGGTAAACCAAATATAATGTATTCCTTCTCTTTGTCATCATCTGAGCTTGCAATACCATTGGTTGGGTTATTATCACTGTTAGTAGTAGTTCTACTTAAACAACGTTTTCCCTCTGCTCTTACCTACTTCTTAGGCAACAAACTGGAGCAGTGTAGTCTTTCCATCAATACTCATTTGGTTCCCTGCTTTCAAAACGGCTTCCAATAGTCTCCTGAAGAGTATTTGACCCCTCAGCTCAATTCAAACATGTTCCAGTGTAAGTAAAGAGTGATTGAGTTGGTGGATCTGTGGTCTGAAGTTTAATCTGAATAGCATGCCATTGAAACGAGAGAATGCAGATGGGATGGATTTGAGGATATGAAAGAGGAAGGATTTGAAATCAGCCAGCCTTGTCGGGATTCCAGCAAAATTAAGGATTTCTGATTCTTCTTCTCTGGTTGGGGAAATTCTGCACTGATTCTCCAGAGTTTCTGTATTCAGTCCTTCTCCTTTCTTGAGTGCATCAATGATCTCCCTGTGAGTGACCTCAAGGGACTTCAGAATGATTGCTATATCCTGTGACTTTCCGGTCTCGAGAATGAATATCGGTGGGGGGCCTGTTGCATTGTTGTCCCCGAAATCAAACTGAAAAGTAAAGTATGAAGAATATTTAATGCCAGTTTATGGTGTTCAGTAGAGAGTGTTTTCCCATTTCTAGGGAGCAAATGTATCCAAGATGATTCCCTTCATTTCTCTCCCATTTGTTAATGAGCACCTCAAATGCTATTAAGGGAAACCAATGACATATTTCATTAAAACAATGAGTGATTATTGCTAGAGTGTAATTACACTTCACAATAGTAGTGCACTAATATTGCTATATCAGTGGACAGATCCATATGACTTATGTCATAACTAAGTATGGTATGTTAAGTATGATCCCAAAAAAACATACGAAAATGATGCTAGGGAAATGGTAGGTAGAAACTAACCTTGATGACCAATCTCTTATCATGGCCAGTAGCAGCAACGCAGAGAACAGATATCATAGCGCCAATAGTATCAGCCAAATGATGAGTAACTATGAAAATGTTAAAATATCTTTTTCAGCTTTTCAGTAACTATAAGAATCATTTTTCAGCTTTTCTCCTCAAAAAAGATATGAAAATCGTGATTTACACATAGGTGCTTCTACTTAACCTTAAGTGGTTTACCTTGTTTCCCATTTTGTCCTGACGTTTTACCTTTTTCCCATTTTTAGTTTCTTCAAATTTAATTAGTTTATTGTTCTAAACTATTCTGAATTAGCAAATGTGAAATGACTAAATGACAATGACTTAGCTTAACTGACACATGTGATTTCATTAAATGCTCTATTAGTATCGTTTTCCGGTTTTCATTAAACTTTTCTATGTACTTTTAAAACCTTTGTATAGGAGAGAGCAAGCCAGAAAGTTCATCACAATTTCCCATGGGTCTGGATGGTCTATTACATTTATTTATACATATAATCTTATAGGATATGACTAACATATAGACAAGTTAGGTGTATCTATCATGTACAATTTGTTTTTTCTCATTTATGTGAAGTGTAGATTTGCAGTAATCCACTTTGTTGTTCAAGAATAACAACTCTAAACAAGGCATGCCATCACTATTAACATTTTGTTTTGGTCAAATCAGACCCGTAGTACCTGACAGTAATATTTATGCCATAAGTCAATATTCATAAACAATTTTGTGTTTGTTATGTGTGTTTTCATATAACAACACAAATACATGCCACTATTTCATGTGAACCTTACTCCAATTATGATTATTATAGTCATCTTGGCTGCTTTATTTCCCCACATATATTCTAGCCTATAAATCTATAAATGCTTTATTGTTTATGATTATTTATCGATAAATAACAAACTATGTATTCAACTGTTGTATTCATATTACTCATATTTTCACTAAACCTAAATCGAGATACTGTTGTCCCTACAATGACCTTGGGCATTACCACGAACGCGCAACGCGCGTTATTAAACTAGTTGTAATATAAGGGTAATACAAGGGGTTAACCATCGATTTGTATTAATAGAAGTGACTATCGTGTTTCTTTCTCCCATTATCCGTCATACGATAGTATAATTTCTATTGATACACAATGTTGCCCAAATGACACTTGATATTAATTTCTTCACTCGAAAGTGTATATAATTTTAATGTGAGTTACAATCATTTCGAACTGATATTGAGTCACATGGCTTGTACCAACCCATTTGTACACGAATAATGGACAACTTGATCTATAACTGTCATGATTTAGACTCGAAGATCATACTCGTTGACTAAAATCATTATAATATGGTATACTTGCCTACAGTGTTAATATAGGTAAATAGGGATGAAGATTTTAGTCTATATGTAGGTATAGTTTATGATTCACATAATATGTTCCGACTAATGAGTCATATGATTCACTTTAACGAATACCAATTGTCCTCGTAAATAGTATTATCTAGTTTTGGATAATACAAGTCATGATCATACCATAATATGAGTCCACATGAGACTTACTAATTTACGTAAATACTACCCACAAATACCATTATAAGAGAAGAACCTACGAATATTAAACCTCAAATGTACCCTATTTATAAGTCAAACACTGACTTATCACCAATTATTGTATGCATATCGAAATTCCACAGTTGGCACCTGAAATTTATACACAATGGCTTTACATTGTGTATTTCAACTATGTCTCGTTTGTATGCTCAAGTTGTGGAATACTAAATTAGTACTAAACACTTATAGTTGGGTACTTAAATAATCCAACAGTCTATTTATTTTCACAATGAGCCATGTCAATTGGAGTATCTAATATCCCCAACTTTTCAGTCGGAACCCATTAAATTTGTATGGGGATTGTGTGTACCTTAATTTTGACTCATACGTGTGTACTTTTAAAACAATCACTTATAAACGGAATTGTCTCAAGGAGACTTATAAATTATCTGGCTTAGAAATATATTGTTTCAAATTCGGCCATCGTATAAAACCGTTAGCACATATAATCATTTGAATTCATAGTCCCGTATGAGATTGATAACATCTAAAAGTACCTTGGGACATTGAGAGCGAGATACTATAAGTATTATATATTATCTTAAATAGCTAACCAATTACCCATATGATAATTGAATAGAACATGTTATACTCCATTTAGAGTATTCTCTTCATCGGCTTCGATTTACACTCCATTTAACTATGGTCACACACCGGTAATATTCCCTAATTGGGTAAATATTGGTTATTAATATACGAATGAAACATGAACCCCTTTATTAGTTTTAATATACATGTAGGTTACAAATTGATTAGTTCTAATCAATTTATTGAAGTATAGCAATGTTTTGACTATTATGTCATAATAGGATCTTATGATAGGCAATAATTCTTCATATAGTATTTATAATATACCCAAAATAAATCTTCGTATTATGATCTCATTTCGAGTTGCAATGAGGTTGTCTCCTCCTACCTTTATAAGCCTTGTCCATCGTACAACTGAATTGGGGAATACACGAGAATTACTGGGATTACCATAATTGATGTCCAATAACGGCGTATATGATCAGATCACTCCCAACATTATAAACTATGAAACAGTTTGTTCATCGTTGGCTATTATATAATTGGCTGATTTCACGATTACGTTCAATAGTATGTTAATCTTTCTATATGGTCGTATTCCCAGGATGATATTCAATATACTATATTGAATAGTCCTGTTATCATAGTACGATAGGTCTTGGTAACAATCCATCTATTGTATGACCCATTCAAGAATACTGTAATTCTTGTATTAAACTACTTGGGTTACTTCCCTAATAAATGGTAGTATGATTTGTACGTGAAAATTTTTGTTTATAATCCCATTAGTATTTGTCCAACAAACTGGCAGGCCTTAACGTATGTTACACTACAAGAAATGTGCTCATTTATGACCGGGAAAACCGTGGTTAAAAACTAAAATCCCGTTTTAATGACGGTAAATTTCCCGTCACCACCCGTCACTAAAGCTTCCGTAGATAAAGGTAAATTCAAAATAGTGACGGGATATAATCCTGTCATTAATAAGTATATAATGAGAGTCGATTTACCGTCATTACTAGGTTTTTTAAAGACAACATATTTCTTTATTAATACATTACATTTGAATTCAAATGTCCCTAAAAGATATAAATTGCTCTTATAAAATGCTTGTGAAATGAAATGCTTATATATACCTGAAAGCAAATTAGTAATAGGCATTAATAAAAACGTTAAACCATGTAACAAAGTCAACACTGTGCAAACTAAGAATTGTTTTGCAAACAAAAAAGAGTAATACATTTGCTAACGTCAAAAGTAAAATCTAACAAAAACTAATGCATAAACAAGTAGCCAAAGTATTCTCCAAAGCCAAGCTTCATCACTAAATTCCATCAACCCAGCCTCTTGATAGAATTACTTCAACATTCCAAACAACATCATCATCACCTTCATCAAGTTCACTAGCTAACTTCAGCGGCATGCTTCTAAGCACCTATATAATATACACCAACATATATAATCAAAATGTTATCCATCAACTTATTATGCTTAACACATTTTCAAGTCAATTAACACTTGCAAAAATATGTCCACTCACTACTACATTTTAAGGTCTATTGTAACAAAAAAATGGTAACATTTGTTTAAAGTGTTACTAAAAGTTGATGTAATGTAACAATTTAACACGTGTCGTTACATTTTTATATCAACTGTTGCATTAAATATAATCCTAATGTAACACTAGCAAGGTCTTATTTTGGATGTTACATTTGTTTAATATGCGTTACATATTGTGAATTCTAATGTAACAGTTTTATAATGCGGAGGGTTTTAATATCAGATGACTAAAAAGAGCGGCAAAGGAAAAAAATGTCTGCCAAGCCCACACTTTATTTCAATTACTTTTCCGCCACACTTTTTTGGCTATTGAAGCAAGGGGAATAAAAAACCCTAAAGCCCTTAGAAGGCAGAACCGCATTCATGTATTCATTGTCATCCCAAAAGCGAAGCAAGCATTTTCTGTCGTGAAGCTAAGCATTTTAGTTATTATAAATCGGATTTAACATCCAGTACCGTAGCAACTCATAGTCACTCCATCACCGTTAAGCTCTGCTCCACAACCTCTTCAATTTAGAAAGCTTGATTCAGAAATTTGCCTCCGTTGAGGTACAATGACTTTAGCGGTTCTTGAAATGCTCACTACCTTGTATCTACACAGATAAGTCTCTGATTTTTTCTATTCATGAGATATAGACAAATCATTTTGAGTTTGGAATTTAGGTTATCCGATTGGCCGGTTACGCGGCCACTCATGAATGTAAAGATGAGTTTATCGAATCTTCTGTTTCTCTTATTCCCGGGCAATTTTCAGGATTAATTTATTTCAGATGTATGCTAATTCAGCTTATTTTGCTGATGAATCTGACATTCCATTCCTCTACAATCTATGTGAATATGTGATCGATGACTTAAAATATATGATTAATAATTTGACCTAAAAGTTTAAAAAAGGTGTGGCTCAATTGGATTGAGATAGCAACTCTTAAGATAGTCAATAAGAGTTTCTGGTTGGCTGCCTTAGCACTAAATTGAAGAAGAATGACTCTTCTCAATATACCATCTAAATCTCAAAGTTGTGGATAAGTGGTCACATTTTATAAACTAATATAAATCCAAACAACTCTTTAGTAATAAGCAAGGCCTTTTGTACTGATAGCAGATTAATAAGCTGCAAAATTTGAAGCAGTGTTATTAGGAGCAAATCTTATAAAACAAAGTTAGAATCTTAACTAATATAATGTGCTTAAACTTGGGAAGAACACAATAGTGAGAAACTGTAAAACTGAGAACTATTAAAAACATTTTGACTTGTATTTAATGTAGAAATGTAACTTCTTATAATTCAAAAATAAAATAAATTCATACAAAACCACAAAAGCAAAAATGACGTTTTGTGGTACCTGGTAGCTTAGCTTTTAATTATGATTTGTAAATATTACTAACTACTAAGCTGTATTATTTTATATTTTATCAACCAAATGCATTTAGTACCTCCTCTGTTCCTATTTTATGTTGTACTTTACCACTTTCCTTGGTTCATTTTAAATTGGTTAGTTAATATAATTCTTGTGCGCTAAACAATATATTTTAATTGGCCCCTAAGTTATGTGTCCAATTTGCCTCATGTTAACTAGTTTGTCTATACTGCCAAGGAAAATAAACTAAGGCAGTAAGGCTGAGACTTGCATGTTAACACCTTTTCTCTGTGAAGCCTTAAGGAACCACACTTTGCTAACCAGCATCATAAGCTGAATCAAATTATTCTGCCTTTCTTATCATATATGTAAGCGAAGGGAATTCAAATATGCCAACTTAATTATTTTTTGTAATTTTTACTTTTTTCCCCACCAGGTACAATACTCACAGTCTGATTTAAGTGTGAAAATAAAGTTAGTACCCAAATATGAAAGAAGATTTGGCATGAGAAGTTACACCGTATATGGCATCCACTATGGGATTGGTCTTGTCATTCCAAATGTTTGTGTAACCTTAAGAGATCAGATGAGTCATCTCATGTAGTTGATGGGTCAAATGGGCAACATTCCCTTGCAATACATTCATTATATATGGTATAGTCCTATGTATCTCTTAAACTTCACTCAAGAACATACAATCTGGAAATTAATCTGCCTAGCTTGTACCTAAACTTGCAGTACCACACAGAACCGATACTAAAATATTTATTTGCTTAGCTGCAGATTCCTGTTTAACAAGAAAAAGGATTGCTAAATTTCCTAATGACATAGACTAAGCACTGTCTTGAATATTATGAATGTCTAATACGTAGTACATATGTTTCCAATAGTACTTTTATTAACTCTTCCTGGTTTTGTTTACAAGTCTCACAGTTTGCTATTTCTATCGGTTTCTTTTTTGTTGTTGGGTTTTACTTTCATTAGGTTTACAAATATCCGTTTTTACATTATTTCTACCTATACTTACTAGTGATCAATAACCATTAATTCACTATTTCATATATGTGCTCCACTATTTCATATCTCCTTCACTATCAATAGCCATTCAACTGCTACTCATGTGTTGCAGAAAAACATAGATAAAAAGGATAGAGAAAAAAGAAAAAAAATTCAAAAAAGTAAATGAGTGAAAATACGTAACATGGGTATTAATTATTTGAATTATTTCTTTTGCAGGCCAAAGACTTACTTGAAGACTAGGATGCAATAGAACCAAATGATGAACACATGGTTTCTCGTTGGAATATAATGCTTCTAAAACTTGGAGTTTTAACAGAGACTTGAGGATACTCTGAATGAGTTCTTGGCAGTGTGATTAAGACTTGATTAGGGATACTCTTTTGAGCTTTACATCTAGATAATTGCTTTGTATTTTCTTGGGCACAGTTTTTGCATGCTAAGTTAATTCTTTAGACTTGATAGATTGATCATTGATGTATGGTATGTACAAATCTACAATATAATGTATTTTAACTTTAATGAATGAGATATTTGTTCAGCTAATATCTGTGCATTTTCAAATTCTTGTGTATATATTACAAGTGTTACATTAGCTAGATAATGCATTTGATATTTGTTACATATTCTTCTGTAGTGTTACATTTATGAAAGTTAAAAACTGTTACATTTGTACTCAACCTATTGTAACGGGTGTGATAACACTTTCAGTGAGCTGAGAAAAGTGTTACAATTGATTCTAAATATTGTTACATACCGTTACAATAGAGAAAAGGTAACGCGAGCGAATGTAACGAAGGAAAACCGTTACATTAAGTATAATGTAACAGACTTTTGGATCAAAGGTAACGAATTTGGCTGTTACAAAAAGCCTCTAAATGTAGTAGTGACTCTGCCAGCTTTTAGAGGTTGAAAAGAAAAGAGCTATTCACAAGCTTTTTTATTGAATTGTAAACTGGAATTTCATTCAGTCATGAGCCCTGTCAAAATTCATGGTCAACTACCACAATTTTATACTTTAGAGTGCTAAGCAACATATTCAATCATAGACAAATTACTTGTTAGCCAACATATATCCAGATTATTGAAGTAGTCATTCAATATCTTACCTCTAACAAAAGAACATTGCAAATCCTGTCATCTGAACCAACTCTTTTTCACAAACATACACGTATTCAAATATTTTTGTGTCATTGAAAAGAAAGATCATAGACCAACATGATAGTCAATCAAGGTGTATGACAAATCAAATAATTTAACTAAAAAAACTGCATAGAGGGGAAGCTCTTCTAATGCAAGAAAGGCCTGGGATGGAGGAAATACAAGTACACAAGTGGGCAATAACAGCTGATAAGTCATCTGCTGATTGCCACTGCCTGCATAGCTAACAGAAGGCAGGACCTTATATTTATTGGGCTGCAACAAGACTGAAGGCTCTCTGAGTTTATGCAAACTCTGAACCAACTTTCTTATTCATACATGACTTCCCACATTTAATAATATATGTAGAGGGAGTATGGATTTGCATTTTACCTCAATATTTAAAGTAGAGCATGCATGCTCTTATCCACAATTTTAGCTAAAAAAACTTGCAGAAGTTTTCATTCTATTGTTATTATTAAAATAATCTCCCAAAGTCAAATAAATTAGTTATACCTCAAATAGAAAGGAAAAGGTTGTACCTGAATATCATTAACTGGAGTAGAAATTTGTTCTTCCAAGGCTCCACTTTCTCCAGTTTCTATTCGACTTAACCTGTTTTCAATTTTATCTATGCGATTCATAAGCTCATTATTTTCTTCATCCTTCTTACGGAGCTTTGCCTCCAGATCACTGATATATGCTGCTTTGGAGTCGTTAAAGTGTTTTCTCTTAACTCCACCCCCGTAAGCAAATACATGACCATGACGTTGTGGTCCAAAATGCTTTTCAACAATCTCAAGATTTGAAAGTGATGGATTTGACTTTACCGTCTCCACAATTTCATCCTATCAATGTTTATGGAATCAAAAGTCACCATGAAAATAATCATCCCTTGAAATTTAGCAAGAAAGACAAATAGTTAGTGTTCTTACATGTTTTTCTTTTTCTTTTGTCCCAATGAGCTTTTCATTTTTGCTTCGAGTTTTAAAAAAAATCACTCCTAAGTCAGGTGTTTGGGAATCTTTACCTCCCTGAAAGTTAAAAACTCAAGAATAAATCACAAGTTCATATCAGACAATTCACACCATTTATATAGTAAGGAAACTGTAGTTTTTTTAATACATTTTCATATATGACTTCTCTGTGTGGCATACTACCAGTGCGGTGAGGCATTCCCATATCTGATGCTGATTTGTTCTTAGAGTTCTGCTGACTAATTTTCTACACCAAATGAAATATAAAATAAAATTAATTAGAAGTTTAATATATTTTGAATACTTAAAACCATTAAAGCATACCTGAAACTCTGGGGTCATAAACTTTTTAGAAACAAGCCATTTCCAATCTGCAACAGTTACTCCTTTTGGAACATTCTGTATCACTTGAGCAATACTTTTGCAAGGTTTCACAAAATCTACATTTAAGAGTGACCTCCAAGTGGACCATAATATGGACATATGCTCCAAGGTATGATTTCGATATAATTCAATATTGGGATTGTGAAAACACTCCTACAACAGTTGGAGCCATAAGACTGACATAATCAGAATCCAAAATTAAAGAGAAAATACTAAAGTTACAATACACATTGGCTTTTTTTAATAGCTAACCTTTACTGCCTCCCACATGTGTTGCTTTCCTACATTACCAATGTCTTTCCATGTAAGCACTTGCATTGGACACATATTACGGTCACGCACAATTCTTCCTAAGTGCCTTGACCAATAACTGTGATTTTTACCCACAGCATGATTGTTATAGAATATAACATCAAGTTTTTCTCCTGGCTTCAATGCTGCAACCTTCTTATTCTAATTTACCCCTCTGACTTTTCTTTCTTTTTCTGCAAATGAAATTTTTATTTTTTAAAGCACGGGTCTTTGTGTTTAAATATATGCAGTTTCACTTATAAAGTAAATATTTAGTATGAGCAACTTACTTTCAACCACTTTGTCAGATACAAAGAATGCTAGATTAATTTCTCATGAGTTATGATAAAAAATCTCTTAGACCTATCCTGATATTTCCTTCACTCAAATTATAATGAAATCAATCACAAAAAGTTTATAGCATTTAACAAAATAGGCAGGTTGAGGCAAGTTTATAGCATTTAACAAATAGGCAGGTTGAGGCAAAGACAACGTAACTCTAATGATTTAAGTTTATTATAGCATGTCCAGATCTATGCACACAAAGTTTAATAGGTTAAATCTCAATGAAATGTAATTATAGCATGTCTAGATCTATGAACACAAAGTTCACTCCTTCGAGCAAAAGATTTTAAAAAACAGGAAAATGATAAAGACAAAATACTCTGGAGGAAAAGTTAAGCTTGAGAGGAGTCATTAACAAACCCAAGTATCAATCAGGGAATATTTAGTGTCTGTGACTATATAATAAATATCCTTAGGTGCAGAGATAGAGGTTTGGAAGCTTAGGCGCGTGCAGGGCTGAAATTGAACTTTGTAATTGGGTGAAGGTTTAACCGTTTTCAACCTGTAACCTTAAACTTTATATATAGTTCTCCCAAATTAAAAAAATCACGGATCACTGAGCCATTTATCTATCACTACAAAAAAAACACGGGATTGGCAGGGATTTTGGCACGGATTTGGCACGGATTTTGGCAGGGATACGCCAAATCCGTGCCAAAAACACTTTGGCACGAGCTATTTGGCACGAAAAATTGATAAGTCTGTTCCAAATTCCGTGTCAATCCCGCCTCTTTTTTTGTAATGTATGACTAAAATCAGTTATCCTACATGTGTCCTTGATATCTATGGCCAAAATCATTAGGTCACATGTAAGTTTGCAAGTGTTCAAGGTGACTTACTGCTAAGGTGTGAGCAAAAGATTACTGAGTAATCACAATAACTTAAAAGAAATAAATTTTCTCATTGGGATCATTGGGATTTTGAACTTGAACTAAACAACTAATGGAATAATCACTAAAGAGAAATTGAAATGATAAACATATTATTAACCAATATTTATATTAAACATCATTAATAGTAAACTTCGTAATTAGCAAACAGGAATAAATCTCATATATAACCATCTGCCTTTTCAAGCTCACTTGCATAGACAAAGTTTAATCAACATCATGTTTATATATCCACATGTCAATATGGCATGCTGTATATATATTTATATAAATATGCATGTTTATTTAGACAAATTTATACGGTTATTTGATAATAATCAAATCGTGATAACATGTATAACTACTCCAATCCTATTGAAATTGATATCAATTATCATATTTACATTTTGAACTTAATCCCATATCAATTAAATGTAAAACAATAAAATCTAACATATAAGATTATGTTCTACCCTTTCTAGTTTCTAACATATAAAATCTAACTTATGTTTATTTACATATGTCGATTGGGATTGATGTGGAGCACCCTGTTGCTCATGTCCATACACAAAATGGTCTTGCTGAATCTTTGATTAAACGATTACAATTAATCGCTAGACCATTATTAATGAAGTGTAATTTACCTTCATGAGCTTGAGGACATGCTATTTTACATGCAACAAGATTGTCACACCTTGATTCTAGATCAAATATATGTGAGCAAGAGGTGCAAAAGATAATCCATTTACAGAATGTTGCAAATCAGTTGCCTGATGTGTAAGGAATAAATGTAATTAGATTTTGATGATGCTATAGGATTAGAAAGTTAGATCACCCCCAATTAGATATTATGTATTAGAATTTTCAATTGTAAGTATTAGTGTAGTCGACGATCAGAGTTGCTCTGTTTTGGATCAGATCAGAAGTGCATCAGAATTGCTCATCCAGACTTGCCCTATGAGAACTGCTCCATCAGAATTCTCTTATCAGAAGTCCATCAGAGTTGCACCATGAGAATTGCTGATAAGCTTAGACATCTGATAACCAATGAGAGTTACAGATCAGAGGCACTCATCAGCGGACCTATCAGAGTCAGAGTTAGAGTTCAGTCAGAGATCAGAAAGCCATCAGAACTCAACTCATTAGAAAGCCATCAGAATCCAACACATCAGAAGAGCCTGATCAGAGTCCGACTAACACTTAGAAGATTTCAAGCAACATCCAACAACTATGAATCCAACGGGTAAAAACATCCAACGGCTAGAAGACTATGCATGAAAGGAAAGCATTTAATGCACATTAAATGAGCCTGATACGCTGAAGGATTGATTGCAAATGATTGACCAAAGAATCCGGGAAGATATATTATAAAAATAGAAACCTTCCAAAACGGCGGTCAAGTCAACTGTACGCACATTTAATGCAGTTGTCTCCTCCTCCAACGGGCAGACAACCTCAGTATATAAGCTACACACCGAAGAACAGGAAAACAACTTTTGCCAAGAACTCTTGATCCATTTCCGAACATACTTCTTGAGATTCAACCTTCATAACACTCTACAAGAAAAGTCAACGTTGGGAAGATTCAAACTCCAAATCTTTCATCCCCAACAACGAGCAAAGTTCATCCTGTTCTTCAACTCTTCAAGAACTTCATCAAACATCATTTGTAACGAAGCAAGTTGGAGGAAAAACTCTGTTTTTCAAAGGATCTTCTGAAAAGAAGGGCGTCCAAGTAACTGCAGTAGTGAAGTGGTGATACTTCCGGGAAGCTGAGTGAAAGGACCAGCCATCAGGACGTGGAATTACATCCTGGGTGGCATGTAGACTTGAAGAAGACGAGGAGTGCTTCTTAAGTGCTAGGATTTAGCTTTGTAACCGATCTACTTCAAAGCTAGTGGAACAGTGGACTAGAGGAACGCGTTGTTCCTTGAACCACTATAAAAATATCCGATGTCATTTACTTTACTGCAATTTACATTTCTGCACTTAGGATATTAACTGTTAACTCTAAGACTTGGAATCTGTGTTCAGCAGATCTTGTTTTCAGAGTTATCAGAAAGGCATTTGCCTTAGTGTTTCTGAGGCTACCCGGACAGATCAGAATCCGCTGCCAAGGCCAGTTCTGATATCAGAACCAGCCTTTCTCTGTCACCAGAATCAGACATTCTCTGATAAGTCATTTTGGACTTAGAGAAAATTTGAAGAACCAATCAGTCTATTCACCCCCCCCCCCTAGACTGATTACCATATTAAACGGGACCAACAAGTGGTATCAGAGCCTCCTTGTTCTTGTAATCTTTTAGGTTACTCTCTGAACAAAGATCCACTTGTTCTTAGCCTCTATTTATTTGTTATTATGGATAACTCTCTTGCAAAGCACCTCATGTTTTCAGATCAGAAGTATGATGACTGGAAGATCAGAATGAAAGCACACCTCTGCGCTCTTCATGATGAAATGTGGGAAGTCCTTGAAGAAGGACCTTTCACCAAATTTATGAAGGTGAATACTGAGCATACTATTGACAGGACTCAGCCTGAGATGATTGAGAAAGCCAGATCAGAATGGACAAAGGAAGAGAGGAGACAGTACAATCTTGACAATATTGCCAAAGATATCCTCTACAAAGCCATCGACAACAGATACTTCAACAGGATCAAGAAGTGTCGAACTGCCAAAGAAATATGGGACAAACTTGATCTCATAGGAGCAGGTGATGAACAAGAGAGAGACAACAAACTGACAATAGCTATGAAGAAGTTTGATGACTTCAAACTTCTACCTGAGGAATGCATAGCTGAGATGCATGCCAGACTTCTGATTCTTACCAGTGAGATATCCGAGCTTGGGAAGGAGCTCACAGTTAAAGAAGTCAACCTGAAGATTCTCAGAGGACTGCCCCCAGTCTGGAAGATGAAGGTTATTGCTGTCCAAGAAAGCAAGGACATCAAAACCTATCCCACAGAGAAACTGATATCTGA